AGGATGGTGCAGTCTGACCTTGGGATAGCCTGGTGGTCACCTTCGATTCATTCCCTTTTTCTGGGGGATGCCAGCAACAGGATAGACCTACAACGTATCCAAGCAATGCAGAAGTTTGACAAGATTGGCAGTGCAACAAAGACACCATATCAATAGATGATGTTTATGAACGAAAGTATATCATCTGGTTTATTTAAGATGGCTACAATCACAGATTCACCAAAACTCCCTGCAGTGGGCACCGTTTTGGTTGGAAAAAAAAGTCATTCATGTATCTTCATCTAGTAGAACCCATCCTGTTTCTGGAAAAGGGCTATGATTGGATGGCTGTAGCTCAATGGTAGAGTTGCTCATCTCTTGATTGAAAGGTCAGGGTTCAATCCATAGACTGTATATAGAATGGACAGCGTCTGCCTCCTCACTGGGTGAAGCCACTCCGAGAACAGCACCCTCTGGTGATGGGCTGCAATATAAGTCATAAATCCCGCCTCCTCCAGCAATCCATATGGGGCTGTGGACGAAATAAATTACAAAGAATATACATTTTTGTACCCCCTGCTTGCGATGTTGACATGTAGTTACAGAAAGATTGGTTTGTGCTCAAGTCCTCTTTTTTCTGGGCAGCTCCGTTTTTAAAAGTTATTAGGGGGTTCATGTTTTCTATGATTGACACTTGATACAGCCTATGGGCGTACAAGGATTGCATGGCTCACCCGGGGGATACAATGTTTGAGTCGAGCGTCATCACAGCGACTCTCGGCGACTCTCCCGTTGAAGGCGCACAATGCTACAGCGCAATGTTGGTTTCAAGAGATGGAGAAAAAACACAGAATTACCGAGATCTTTTTGGCTTCAAGTCCGTATACTGATGGAGGGCAGAACCAAGTTGTCCATAGCATATACAGTCTATGGTTCAATCCCATTTCCCACTGTCCACAAGCCAAGCTGTGTGTGAATGTGACATGTGAAAATGCTGTATAGGCACAGTCCATTTACCATCATTCTGCTCCAGCTAAAACCTGTGAGAAATTAATAACTACAGTGCCAGACCCATTTGGCAGTGAAAACGAAGATGAGCTTGCTGATGGGTCTGGCAATGCTAGGCTACAATTTGCAGAGTCTGTGCAGCTGTGTAGCTCTGTCTTGTACCATCGAATGTTACAGTATGAAGTTTACAGTTAGCTACCGAAACAGAGGCTGGGCTCAGCCTCTAGCTATGAGGAAATACCTGCAACCATTTCCCTTAAATTTCCCCTCTTCTTCTGTAGTCACTATTTGTCTTGAACTGAGAAGACCTTTTAATCAAACTAGCAAGCCTCAAAGTTTATTCACTTATTATTATTCTTCACTTGTTTTTTTTAAAATGCATGGTTACAGTCTCTGATAAGACATGACATCAGATGTTGCCCAAGGCTGGTGGGGCTTATGTGCCATTATACAAATGCATGCTTTGGCAGTAAGGCGGTCCCTTTCTTCTTTGACTGCCATTGTCTTGGTTAAGTGTTGTAAAACAATAAAATACCCCTCTGTGCATTATTCCTTGTAATTTCATTCAAATTATTTCTATGTTCCTCTGGCAATGTGAGGACTTTGTCACCCCTAATTGGACAAACCAGTTCTAAAGGAAGGTTTTGGTTGGTACAGTTTGAAAATACGCCAATAAACACACTCAAATACACTCCCTACACTCTGTACAAAAAAACACAAATTCAACTTTCATTATTCAGTTAAGTCTGGAGTTTTGGACTGGAACTGTTTTTAGAAACTGACTCCATGCCACAGCCCCCAGCTGCTGCTGTTGCAGTTAGTGAAGAAAAAAGTCAGGTTGCCAAGAAACCAGCAGAGATGCTGAAGAGAAAACTGTGAATAATAAAATAAAACACCAAAGCATGTGTTCAGAGCTCTAATAAATTTCATTTATTTCCCCAGGATCCAGAAATACCCTGACTCAAGGTTAAAAATCCCAGAAAAGTCCTCGCAAAGGTAGGAATTTGAGGGCACACACACACATTCTCATACATGATCTCAATTCCACCTCCATGCACCCAAAACATTCAGTAACACCTACACATAAACACACACACACACACACACGCTCACATGCACACACACACACACACACACACTGTAGCTGTGAAGAGGGTCCTCTCAGTTGCATCTCTGCGGCTCGTTAACGACGCCTCCTCTCGTCTCGCCGGTTGCCTGGAGACGGTGACTCATGTAAACACAGTCTCTCTGCAAATGCGAGGAGTTTAATTGATTTCTGTTCTAAGGAGCAAAGTCGTCCAGAAGAACAATACTTTTTCCTCTTTTTTTCCTTCTTTTCTTTTTGCTCTATTCTTATCTCCGATCATTTTCGATGCAAAGGAGACAGTTTGATAAACAAGTACACTGCTGTCATCAGCCTTGACTTTACAAATGTAGACGGATAAAGACACCTCAGGTTTCTCTTCATCAGACCACCTCTCTCCCTACTTTCCTGCTTTTGTGCACCTTTATAACTCTCATTTAAATGCAAATGTGCTTCAAGGCTTTGAAATACTAAAAGAGGATCTTTGTTTTTATGTATATTAAGAGCAAAGAAACAACATAATAACTAGAGACAAAAGCACACCAACAAAGAAACAAGTCAGTTTCCTCTTTTTTCTCTTTAAATTTTGTTTTATTTGGATTGGTCCAGCATGTTTTGTTCCCCTGATTAATCAACCAAAGTTTTATCTGAGGTACTCATGGGGTTATTCCTATCTTCGATGTTTCTAATGCGCCTAATTTATGCTCTTTAAACAGTAAAATGGAAATAAGTCTGCTTATTTTCTGTACCAAACACTTGTGGATTATTAAGGTACTTGGTCTTTTTTAGAGGGTCTTATCTCGTCTCTTTGAGCAGGTCATTTAAAGAGCTGATTAACAAGGAGAAACACATTTTTAGCTACTTTTCATTCAGGTGTATGACCCAAAATAGCACCTCATTTGCCTCTCAAATCAGTGAATACTAATTTACATAGACAGCCAGTCTGAAGTGACTGACAATTGCTGCATTTGATAAAAAGGGGGACATTTCAGTGCAGATTTTTGGCTCGAGAGATGTGTATTTTTCACAGTTTTATTGTGTAAAATTAGATTCTTCAAACTAAATAAGTCCAGACTGTAAAAGTTGGCAGATCTCCTGTCCATTTTAGAACCGATCGATTTTTGTTTGCTGACCATTCAGCCTCCAGGGTTGATGGAAACTAGAATAAGAGCTGTTGCACTACAGAGAGATGTTAGAATTGAACTTTGCGGCCACATGCTGGTTGTAGATGTCTTTAAATTTTACTCTGACATATTTTTATACTCGCTAACCTCAAATGGACATTTTTATTGCAAGATGTAAAATATCTTTTTACTTGCACACATTTTGAAGCACAGTACACAAGCATAGATTTTATTATCTAGTTTGATATTTCAATATTAATTTAACATTATTCTTCTGTCTGTAACCACAAGAGCCCTTTACTTTACATTTCTATGGGGACTTTGTTAAAACTCAGTCGGATATCAAGCAGCTCAGACACATCTAAGTGGAAATAAGAGAAAGAAAAACGACAGAAAGGAAATGCAGCCAAAGACTGTTGAGAGCTGTCTCATCTGCAGGTGTTTTCAGTAGTCTCACCTGCTGTTATCCATGCAGCCTTTTGCTCTCATGCTATGACTCCATAGTTATAAGGAGCTCTTGTTAGTGCCAGAGTGATGGTGTCTGAAGAAGTGACCCCTGAAACCCACATTATGTGTGCTAGTCTGGGTTTTGAGGCTGGTGCAACATAAAGCACAGCCTAGAACAGCATAGAAAACAGCATAAAGAGCTTTAGCACTTTTCACAGGGGATTATATTATTATATGAAGACCTCTGGTAGATTGTCAGTCACCTGTCAGGTGTGGTGCATTTCCATGGGGTAAGCAAAGTCGATAATTGACTTGAATTTGCCGATATTTCTGATTGAAAATGCTGCGGTGCTGCACAACATCCACCTTGTTTCTGCAACGAAATGAAATAGACATCCGTATCTGGCACTTTTCTACAAAGCATGTGCACTTAAACTTCTCCTTCATTAGCAGAAAAAAAGATGCACTTTTTCGTTGTTGTTTTAACTATTGATTTTTACTCATCCTCATTGTGATATTTAGCGATTTCAGCATGTTGTTTGCAAATGGTCCAAGAAAAGGGGCCGAAAAAGCTGCAGACTAAAGCTCTTTTCACAGGGGATCAGTACCACCTAGGGTCCTCGGATTTGTAATAATTATGAGGGATGTCACTGTTTTTAATTTCTCATAAACTGACCATGTCTGTAATTTGTTAAGTCAAAATCCTGAGGCAAAAAATCACCCTATGGTACGGACTATGGTATTTACTTGTGAAGATGTTTTGTCATTTTAGTGTTTTTGTCTGTAAATTGTGTGTTTTTTGTTGTATATCTTTGGGTATGCCTGTGTCTGTGTTTCTTTGTTGTGGTGTTGTTTATACTAATATATAATCTAATACTTACCAATTAGATTACATATTCCTTTATTCATCCCTCAGCGGGGCAATTAAAATTGTTCGTATAGTTCAAAATAGTTTGAACTAAAACATCTAATTCATCACTTAGCCTCCAGTTGATGTAGACATCAGGCTAATATGCAGTAAAAGATTCTAGCTTAAGCATTTTTTTAAACCTGTCTGAGGCCATTTCAGCTAAAGTGAAAACCAGGAGTGTATGGCTTACATCTGGAAACATCTGGGAGAGTAATAACTCCAGTGTATTCTTGACATTTAAATTCAACACTGTCCCAAACCTCAGCCTGAACTCCCAGAGCTCAGCCTACTAAGCCTCCTGCTCCTCCACTGAGCGGTTCATATTTCATCTTGTCTGAAATAAATTTTCTTGTATCTGGTATCCTTAGACAGCCTTTGCATATTTGTGTTTTTTATTATCTAATCACTTTGTGCGGTTGGCGGCGTTTGTCAGGATGGCAGGCGGCAGATGGAGGCTGACGTCTCAGCGTGGAGGAAGGAGACGAGCTGTCAGATAGTTTATCCTGCAGCCTCCTCGTCCGCTAACAACCAGCTCACCACAGGCCTCATTCATCCTTCTCGTCAGCCCGCAGACAGCAGCTGGCAGCTCGTCAGTCTTCATGCAGAGGAGACAGCTGAGCTGAAGGATGGAAGAGGCAGAGGGACCAAAAAGAGTGAACCAGAACCCTTAAAGGACTCCTCGAACTGGGCTGTCCAAAGTTCAGTAAGTCCACTAATGCAGGTTCACACTGCATGACAGTCAAGTGGATTTAAGGCCTGAATTTGAGTGGAACTAAGTCTGGAATTTTCTGATGACACTCAAAATTAACTGGTTTGGTTTTACTGTCATGTGAGGTGACAGGAAAAACGTCATAATTATCGTATCCACAAAGAGTCATCATTATAATGATTGTGATATTTATGGAAAACTTGAAAATAAAACAACACAATCAAGATTAGGGAGGTGCATCATGCCACAAAAACTCACATGCTGTTATCTTTTATAACAAAGTTCAAATGGATGATTTCAGCCCTGTGACTGAAACTTCTTTGGAGGGGGTAACAAATGATCTTAAACCAAACATGCAAGTGGGTGCTGGTGAATTTTTATCTAGAGGGGGGCTCCATCCAAATCCAAAACAGATGTATTCCATTTAAGGTGTAAATTATGTGAATTAAAGGCACTTGCCTGCATTTGCATAGCTGAATGAACATTTCTATGAGGACCTTTGTTTCTTCATGTTTTCTTTATGTCTCCCCATCTCTCTCCATCGCCTTTCTAAACCTAATGCAGTTTCAGCAGATGACCATGTAACATCAGATCAGTCTGGTTCTGCTCGAGGTTTCTGCCTGTAAAAGGAAGTTTCTCCTATCCACTGTAACTATATGCTGCATATTGTTTTACTCATGTGATTGAAGGTGGGATAGGAGTGGGTCTGATCTTACAAGATATACTAGCATCTTAAGGATTGATTGATCGATGCTTTTTATTTAATCTATTTATCTATTTTTCAGGGTGGGGGCTGGGCTTTCCTTGGAAGTACTTTAAATAAGTCGTTTATGTCTTGAGTCCATGCTAGATCTGATCCTGATGTATGAAAATGGGATCAGGGCAGCAACTCCAAACATTATCACCACTCCAGTAAACTAGCCTTTGAAAAAAGTACAATTTCCCCTTCAATATTTGGAAGGGTGTCAAATCTTTATTAAAAATCTGAACTCAAGTGAATCTCCCTGTTGAGGGCCATTTGTCTGGCAAATGGAGGACAAACTGGATAATGAGTGAGGAGGTCAGATTGTCTGGTAAGCTGTGAAAACACAATGAATCCTCACAATGTAGCCAGTCTCGACCATGTTTGATGAAAAGAGACAGAAAAGTCAAGACCCAATCTCCTCTTGTGTAATGTATTTCGGCACTCGGGTGAATACACTGAACTACAAAAGAGGATGAGGGCCACAAGAAGAGAAGAAATAATTACAGGAGGGATTTTTTAAATTTACATTTCGAGATTTAAGTCGAAGTTTAGAGATTAAAGTTAAAATTTTAAAAAGTTGAAATTTCGACTTCATTCATGTCGACTTCAATCTCGAAATTTGGACTTTATATATTATTATTTATTATTATACAATATTTTTCTCGACACTTTGTAATCTCAAAATTTCATCTATATTTTGATTCTTTAAATCTCGAAATGTCGACTTTAATCTCCTTCCTGTAACTATTTTTTTTCTCTTCATGTGGCCCGAATCCTCTTTCACACTCAACAGCAAGGTGATCAAATTACTTGTTTCTCCTCTTTTTATGGCATATGGCAACTAGGGTTAAAGACAACTTCTATAGACTCACAGTATTACAGTTAGCTTAATTTTTTCAGCATGATACCAACGTTTCCTTTTTCTGTTGTACCAGAATATTGTTAGAGCACTAGTTCATCCTTTTCTTACAAACTTTAATTTTAAACACCTGATAAATCTCATAAAATTATTCCCTGACAAGACAATCAGCCAACATAAGGCTGATATCCATATCCTGACTGTCCTCCAACAGGTTTTAGCATGCATTCAGAGACAAGCATATTATCTGTTCACTTTTTTGAACAGAATTATCAGTGAGGAAACCCCACAGATAACTTTTCACTGTCTTCTTCTTTAGAAGTTTTGGCAGCACCTTTTCCGCTGCACTGGACTGATGTGAATACAGCTCTGGCACCTCATCAGAGTAAAGCTGTAATAGCTGCTTGAAATGACAATTCAGCAGGTGCTGTCCACAGACTGATGGTCTTTATGAAAACACTGTCAGACTCTGATGAAGGCCGGGGTATTTGGAAACTGGACTGAGGCCTGTTTATGTATTGAACTGATAAGACAGCCACATATCACCTCCACACGTTTCAGTATTGTGAGACCTCATGGCACCAGATCTTGACACATCCCTGCTTCATATCATATAGTCCTCCCAAAGGTGAGGACAATTATGGTGAGACATTATTTGATGACTGTTGTCTGTTGTGTCAGTAGCAGGAATCAGTCAACATTAGAGGTGTCTCTCAGTATAGATGATCGAGTTTAATGTCAACGGCAGTCAAGTCTCACGCACTTGAATATTTTTTAACTTTTCTTTTTATGCAAGTTTTTTGTTGTTGTTGAACATTTCTAAAGTTTTCTCAAGGATCAGCTGAGATGACATGGTAGCAAAAGCAAAATCAGCCTATGATGCTCCATGACAGGCAAAGACAGCAGAGCGGGGTTTGTAATCCCTCATAAACTAATGACCAATAACCGAATGACATTCACGGTCACGTGACTTCCGGTTCCGTTTTCTAGAGATATTGAGTTTGTCCTTTGTGAACGCAAACCGGACCAGTTAAACAATCAAAACAAATGTATCGTCTTGCCTTGGATTCGAATCAGGAAATGGACCTTTAGGTGTGAACACGACCTTAAATGCTTATAGCTCCTCAAAAGGTCCCTAGGTTCAGTGCCTGCAGTGGGAAAGCACCGTGAGCTGGTCTTGTCATGCACATGGTCAAGTTGTGTCTGTTAAAAGAAAAAAAATCCAGTCCTGCTTTCTTTTCATGGTAAAATGTTTTACTTGACTGAGTTTCTGTTTTGCTAAAAGTAAAGAAAATATTTTTTTCTCTAGCTGTCAATCATCAGGTCTGACACCTACTCCCTCGCAGTGGTTACAGGCATTGAAAATTACGATATAAAAACTGTCACTGCAGCTGCATATATTTGTTTTTGCTCCTGAGGGTCATGGAGAGGAATGCTGTTAATTTCAGCCTGATTAAAATTCCTCACAGGGGCTTTAGGAGATGACTGAGCAAATGCTTGAAATATTGGATAACCCTCATGTGCAACTGAGGCGCCTTTTCCCATTATTTCAGAAACACACAGCAGGATGCTATTTTCTGAATTTTACACTTTTCATAATTCTGAAATAAGTTTTCTCCATTCATCACGAAAAACAGAGTAATGTTTTTCTTAATTGAATGCAAAAGGATTCAGGAGATATAATTAATGTTCTCATATATTTTGAAGCACCTGTTGTTTATGTCACTTTCAATGGTCATAACTGAAAACAGGATTGATATGATGAGTAAATCTTGTCTTATCAATCCTGTTTTGAGATGTTCTGACCTCAGACCAGCATTCTTACAGTAGCTGTCTTTGCAGTGCATGTCATTGGCATGAACCGTCAGCGCTGAATCAAAGCTCCTCACTCACGATGGTGTTAAAAACAGTGAGTCTCATCTGTTCAGGCACCAAGGACAATATGTTCCCTCTCTCTTCATCTCTGCTCTCCCTCCATATCCTCTTTTCTTTCCTCAGAGCGTCTTCTGAAGCAGCTCGGCCCTCTCAGCAGCCTCATTGTGAATGCAGACACAAATCCTCTGCAGCCAATCTCTGCTGGCAACATCTCCACTTTTCCACCCACGTGTTTGGCATCTGTAGACAGCTCTGTGTAACTCTGTTATGAAGCATATGTCGCTGTTTTGTTTCACAGCGGTCACACTCCAGCACTGACTGCACTCAGGCTGATGTGGTGTCACTATAAAGCCACTTTCACACATGCAAAGCTCTACTTGAAATTTCATGTAACTGTCAGGGTATGCTGCATGTGAATCTAGAAGACCATAAATCTCTCATCTTGACTTTATTCAGACTTTTGCACGAAATCTATGATGACTTGAATACATCTCTGGTGTTTGATTTGTCCTCATGACTATTATCAAATTGTATTGTGCAGGATACTCATATTAAAACTATCTGTTCATATCACAGTAAAACTAAAATCTGCTATACTTTTCCTTTTTGCTCAACTATTTTGTTTTGCTATTTTGAAGAGGACTGCAGCCTCTAAGGAGAACTTTGAGGATCTTCTGTCTTCTCCTTCTATCATTATTTTTCATGCAGAGAGGACCGTCAAATTTCTAAAACACTGTGGCACTTCTCCATAGCGCCTGTTTTAAAGATAAACTTTTATAAAAACGAGAATATTTTGTAAGATCTTGCTGTCAGGTTCTGGATTGAAATGCTCTCTTGTTCATCCCCTGGTTGCTGAAGTGACAATGATCTTTGAAGACATGAAGCTACTGTGATGAATGATAAACTCTTTTCCACGGCGGTCCTCACACAGGAAGTGCGTTGGTTGCATGAGGGCCTCAGAATGACTTGATTTTTGGTGAACACATCAACAGATGAGTGCAGCACATCTTACTCAATTTTTACAGCAAAGGGTCCAAGCCCAAAATACACAGAAAACAGATCCACTGGAGGCTGTGTTTGCTCTGTAGCAGGTATGTTTGGGTCCCAGGCATGTAAAATGTGCTATGGCTGTACTTCAGGAATGCTTTTCAAAGCAAAAGCCATTTTTTTCTGTGGTGGACTCCTGTTTCAACATTGTGCTTTTATTCTGAAGTTGTGTCAGGGTTAATTATAATTATTTTGTTAAAGAAGTTATCTGCTCAGCTCTTTACTCAAGCTTAGAGTAAACTTCAGCAGGGACAAAACGTTTTCATTTATCGTGTTGGCTGCAGGTAAGCTATGCCTATCATTAAGTGACCTCAGGTTACAGGGCAAGTCCCCTTTTTTGTATTTTCCTCTTCCTTTGCAGTCACCTTGGCCCTTTTTCACTTCTCAGCTTGTGCTTTGAGTTAATTTGAGTTCAAATGCCTGTTTGTAAAGCTCCAACAGGGATAAGAAGGGCAGTGCAGGGGCTGTAGATTGGATACCTTCTCTACTTTTGATTATGGA